AAAGTACAAAAATTAGCCGGGCATGGTGGCATGTGCCTGTAGTCCCAGCTACTAGGGAGGCTGTGGCAGGAGACTCACCTGAACCCAGGAGGCAGAGGCTACAGTGAGCCGAGATCGTGCCATTGTACTCCAGCCCAAGTGACAGAGCAAGACTCTGTCTCAAAAAAAAAAAAAAAAAAAAAAAAAAGACGCAAAAAAGAATCACAGCATCTTAACACAGATGGGGGGAGCAAGCTCATCCCCACCCCCACCCCGTTTTGCAGCCTAAGACAGTGTCACTGGAGAAGGGATGACCCTTCCCCTCCAAGGGCCTGGCAGCCAGGTCTCGAGCCTCCCAGCACCTGACTATACAACCAATTCAGTTCCTCCCAGGGTACAGACCACCTGCTCTCCCTGGGAGAGGAGAAAAAAAATGTGTGAAGCCTGGGAAACCCTCTACAGGGGACCACTGTTGCAGCTCCTCTGAGGGGCCGATCACAACAATGGGAGACAAAAGCCCCCTTAGAGGAAAAGACTGCCCTTTGAGAGCTGGCGGCCCACTTCAACCCAGAGAGGCAGGCACAAAGGAGGAGGCTGTGAATGGGAGGCGAGCCGGGCCTGCCCCAGACCCCTCCTTCCTCCCGAACCCACCTGCTCATCTCTTTCCTTGGCCTGTCCCAACAAAGGCAAAAGCCGAGGGCTCTCTCAACTTCCAATTAGTTTTTCAAATAAAATAATGACCACTGAGACCTGCTGCTACTTGTGGGTTTTGAGGCGAATGCAATTATAAGGGTAAAACCACCACGGCAACAATTCCCATTCTCTGTACCATTAACCACGGCGTTCATGGGGCCCGAAACACTCCACTTGCCCCACAGAGGTGCTGGGGGCTTCCCACTCCTGGGAGGGTCCTACCTAAGACGGGTGCTATTTTTCTCCCCAAAGAAATGCTCTAATCAATGGGGGACTTGCTGCTTTTAATGATAATCTCTTCTGTTTGTATTAACTTAAAGTTCACAAAGAGGCTTCCCATCCATTACTTCATTTGCTCTCTAAAACAGCCCCAAAGAAGGCAGAGCACAGCACTGCTGGATTCAACTAGAGATCAGAGGAGTCCTCCAGGTCAACAGGACTTGGAACTGACGGGGCGGGGAGGGAAGGCAGCACTCTCCAAAAGGCTGCTTTAAGACCCCAGGCCCCTCAGGAAATGCTGGGGAGGAAATGAGGGAGCTGGGGAGTAGAGTGACTTAAACAGGTGAATGTAGACCTGGTACAAACTATTTTCTTGAGATGGAGTTTTGCTCTTGTTGCCCAGGCTGAAGCGCAATGGTGCGATCTCAGCTCACTGCAACCTCCATCTCCCAGGTTCAAACCATTCTCTTGCCTCAGCCTCCCAAGTAGCTGGGACTATAGGCCCCTGCCACCACATCTGGCTAATTTCGTATTTTTAGTAGAAACAGGGTTTCTCCATGTTGGTCAGGCTGGTCTCAAACTCCTGACCCCAGGTGATCTGCCCGCCTCAGCCTCCCAAAGAGCTGGGATGACAGGTGTGAGCCACCATGCCCAGCCTGGTACAAACTGTTGACTGGGCTCCTGCTACCACCACCCAGGAAATAATGACAAAAGGATCTAGGCTACTGAGAGCAAACGCTGACTCAATGCTAAGTGTCAGGCACTGTGGTACATATTGTGGGTATGGCCTCCTCTAATCCCTATAAAGACCAATTTTTAATGATGGGAAACCACAGTCCAGAGAGGTAAAGGAAGGTACATAAGGACACACAGCTAATCGGGGAACTCAAAGCAGCTCCGTTTGACTCTAAAGCGAATGCGTCTTTATTCCTCAGAGAAGGCCAGACCCAGGCACTATTGCAGTGAATAATTTGAGTGATAAATCCAATGGATTTCATGAATTTTAAGAGAGAGGCCTGCTGTTGGCTCTGGACTCCTAGACCATCTTGGTTATAGCAACCAGGTTCTTCCCCTACAGCACTGCTCCAGCACTGAGAGCTGAATCACTTTAAGAGGCTTCAAGGCCAGGCGCGAGTGGCTCCTGCCTATAATCCTAGCACCTTGGGAGGTCGGGCAGATTGCTTGAGCTCAGGGGTTCAACACCAGCCTGGGCAACATTATAAAACCCTGTCTTTACTAAAAATACAAAAATTAGCTCAGTGTGGTGGCACAAGTCTGTAGTCCCAGCTACTCCAGAGGCTGTGGGTTGGGGGATCACCTGAGCCTGGGAGCTTGAGGCTGCAGTGAGTCATGATTGCATCACTGCACTCCAGCCTAAGCGACAGAGCAAGACCTCGTCTTCAAAAAACAAAAAAGGGCTTTGCCCAGTGGGTAGAGTCAGACAGACAGCATTTGTCTCTGCTATACCCCAATATACAGGCTGGTCAGGCGTGGTGGTGGATGCTTGTAGTCCCAGCTACTCAGGAGGCTGAGGTGAGAGGATCCCTTGCGTTCAAGGTTAGCCTGGGCAACATAGCAAGACCCCATCTCTTTTTTTTTAAAGCTCCTAAGATAAAAATCAATCCTCCTCACCACAGGCCCTAAAAGCCAAGTGTTCTGGCGTCTATCCCCACGAGGATGCTGTTCCTGCCAGTGACATCTCGGCTGCTTGGCCTGCTTCCAGCTAGAATGTGCCATGCTCTTGCCCCAGAGCCTCCACACTGGCTGATTCTGTGCCCAGAGTGCTCTTTCCCAGCTTGGCATAGGCACCTTCTCATTCTTCGTCTCAGCTGAGCCCTCCCAAGCCATCTAGGTAAGAACTGCTTCCTCTGAGGCCCTGCACATTTGTGATCACTGTTCCCCTTCTCCCTCAGCCAGCCTGCCCGTGTCTTGTACCTGGACCACGGGCAGGGACTGGATCTGTCTTGCTCACTGTGGTAGCTCTGGACACAGAACACAGCCTGGCACATGGCAATGTTTGCTGGGCTGTGTTCTCCAGCTCCCGTCTGAGTCTGCAGGCCAGCCCGGAACCAGCCCAAGAACCCCTTACTTAGCTGTGCCAGCCATTTCTCCAAAAAGCTGTTTCCTGACTTCTTTCCCTCCAGCCACTGGCTGTCGTTTGTTTCCGATGACCAGGACACCCAGCACCCTTTATACTTCTACCCTCGGGCCCTACTACCCCTTCTCCACACCACTGTCCACCAGCCCCACACCCAGTCTGTCTCCCAGGCCTGCACAGGTTTGATGATAGGTGGGAAGCACCCCTGCTCTCATCCCACACACTGCTGGAGCTCTTTCCTCACCAGTCTGAGCAGCTGAGGTCCCAGCACACCTAAGTACAAACACTAGGAGCCACCCAAGAGCAACAGGGAGCCACCATCACCCCTTCCCCTCGGAGTGGGATAAGAAACTAAAAGTGGAGGGTGCCAAAGGCATGTGGCTGTGAAAGCCAGGCGGGTTTCAGAGAAGCACAGCGGGCAGGTGGACCAGCACCAGCGTCCCACTTGTGGACACCTGTAGGGACGGGGCTGACGAACTGGAGCTTGCAGGTCCCGTCCAAAGGGAGGAGGTGCTATTCAGTGCCAGCTGACTGCTGCCATCCAGGAATCAGGCCTGCCATCGTCAGCTCTAATTTTCTCTTTCAAGAGAATCCGAAATCTAAAACCAAGACTTTTATACAAAATCTGTCTTCAAATGTTGGTGACTTACTCAATTTGTAAAAAAAACACTACAGATCACAAGTTTGCAACCTCTGGGAAGGAGAAGCCTCCTTCCCATCTTAGAGGCATCCCTGTAACTGCCCACATCATCCTCTCACCTGTAGGATCCCATTCAGAATCAGCATAGAGTTCCAGAATCTTCTTTCCCCTTTCCCCAATCAAAATACCAATTTCTTCACTGTAGTAAGATCCAACTAGGTTGGAAAGCAATCTGATTAAAATAAAACAACTTCCAGCCCCCCAATTCAATAAATAATATGATTACCATATTTCAAAAGTTAACTAAACATATCATGTTTCAATTAACATTAGGTTGGTGCAAAAGTAATTGTCGTTTTTGCCATTCTAGAACCAGAGGCAATGAGCCAAGGCACATAAGTGTGGGTCAATCGGGAAAGATGCCAAGCACTAATAATGCATTAGCATTCAACTCCTTTACTCCTATGAGGTAGGTAGTTATCCCCTCACTTTTACAGAAGCACAAAAGGAGCTTTACAGAAGGCAAGCTACTTGCCCAAGGTCCCACACCCTAGTAAGTGGCAACACTAGGTCTGTCTGACACCAAAGTCTATGCAGTCAACCACGCTATGCAGTATTACTTCTCTACGTTCTATTATATCACCTCATGTAATGGTTGCCCTAGGGCACAACTTCAAAGGGGCATTCTTGAGATGGTCGTGGCCTTCTAGCCTAAAGTAACTCAGTGGTCAGTGCTCTGGTCTGAACTTGCGTCCCTTGAAAATTCACGTTGCATCGAAATCCCCATGCATCCGTCTTTTTTTTTTTGAGACAGAGTCTGGCTCTGTCACCCAGGCTGGAGTGCAATAGCGCAATCTCGGCTCACTGTAACCTCCGCCTCCCAGGTTCAAACGATTCTCCTGCCTCAGCCTCCCAAGTAGCTGGGATTACAGGTGTACACCACTATGCCTGGCTGATTTCTCTATTTTTGGTAGAGACGGGGTTTCACCATGTTGGCCAGGCTGGTCTCAAACTCCTGACCTCAAGTGACCCACCCACCTCAGCCTCTCTAAGTGCTGGGATTACAGATGTGGGCCACCACACCTGGCCCCAAGACAAGAGCCTTGAGTAGAGGTCCTCACTGCTACAAGTGGGGCCTTCAGATACCAACAGGGCTCCTCTGCAGACAGCTGGTGCTCACTGCTGGAGAAGAAGAAAGGAATCTGGCCTTTCCAGGCAGTTCTCAGGTCTGTTAGGAAAGGGGCAAGAAGGACCAATGTATAAAGGCCTGGAGAAATACGCTGGCATCAACAGCATTTCCAAATCAGTTGTCATGTTACATACCCAAGGACCCCACCACCCAAAGTACTAGAGTAAGCTCTCAATCAGGCCTTTGTTCCTATTATCGTCCACTTTATTCCAAAACAATTACACATTTCAACTTTTCAGATGCAACATCTGGGTAGTTAGGAATATTCACAGCATCTCACACAGTGCCAAAGAAAGAGACTATCAGAGCTCACCAGGTATCTGCTCTGTGTTGGGGAAATTGAAAAACAACAAGCAAAAGTAAACTACAATCTTAACTTTTTCCTTTTAAATAGTGTTGTTTTTTTTTTTTTCCATTTTTCTTTTCATACTGTGAATTGTTCTTGACTCCTTTTCTTGACATTTGGTTTTCAGAATTTCCATCCTTCGTCTGGAGTTAATGTGCTGTTCTGAAAAAAAAAAATGGAGACAAACACAAAATTATTGACAGTTTCAGTTCACTGTTACAGTTCCTAACTGGTGACAACAGGGAGACCAAGGTACTCTCCCGAGACAAGATCCCATTTATAAGGGAATAATCATTTACCGATTCTATTTATGCCCCATCTAATTTTACAAAAGAATGTAACACTAGTTCATAATTAAGCTGATGACGACTTAAATACAAACAACAAAACAAACTCGATAATAACTAAGACAGTGGTATGTGACAACACATGGAGATGAGGTAATTCCAGGCACACCTCTCACAGTGCAAGGCCAAAAACAGAGTATAAATTTCAACTAGATAAACAGAGAGGAAAGTTTAAAAGAATGCTTGTCCTTAATCTCCCAGACTCCAGCTCTGCCAACCAACACGTGGCCCTTCTGTAGCCTGGAAGATGACATCCTGACCATTCATTACACAAACCTGCACATTCCTGCTGCGTAGCTGGGACCTTGCCAAGTCACACTTAGCCTCTAACCTAACACAGAAACATTCTCAAAAATGGGACTCAGCTCACAGAAAATGTTAACGGGGATAAAAACCTATCTCCTGTATTCTTCTTTGCCCCTTTGCTGCCTTTCCCTAGGCTCTAAGGAGGGATGGGAACCACAATGAATGAAAGGGACAATCTAGACACACTGTGCAGCTGAGGAGGTGACTGCTGTGAGTCACCGATTCTGGCAGGCGCCAGCAGGCAGAGGCAGGGCTGCCGATACACACACTATCCTTCAGTGGCAGCTCTTCCCAGGGGTGAGGACTAAGGTGATGATGACGGAGTCTTGCAGAATGGCAGACTCCAAACCCATTTATAAAGCAGTTACAAGAGACATGCACAGGCATGGGATTAATCTTGAGGGCTGGGTTGTGCACCCCTAATTCCTTGCCAATGTTCAGAGGTTCCTAGGTACACTAAAATGTGTACATTCAGAAATGTTCATGCAGAAAGGATAGCACAAGTATGAAATAAGAACAGCTGAAGGGTAGTGGCCCACAACCCTCGACTGTAGCTAGGAGCTTATGTCCCATATGTCTGCTCAAATCAATGTCTGCCCTCAGATCAACAGCACTTTGCTAACAGGGGTTTCCTTTCAAACACTAGGAAGTGCCAAATGTCCAAATAATCAAGGGACTTTCCTCTCCCTCAAGCAGTGATCTGGGGATAGCAGAGCGGAAACAGACTTTAAAAATCAAGAGGCCGAGCAAGGTTGCTCACGCCTATAATCCCAGCACTTTTGGAGGCCAAAGCAGGAGAACTGCTTGAGCCCAGGAGTTTGAGACCAGCTTGGGCAACATAGTAAGACCCCATCTCTCTCTCTTTCTTTTCTCATCTACTTGCAGAAGACCCCATCTCTATTTAAAAATTTTCTTTTTAATCGAGAAAAAAAAAAACCTGAGTTATTTAAAGAATTAAAGAACTCAACATTTAGCAGAAAAAACGAATTCTGAAAGCACATCTCAGACAGAGTGACTATAATTTATGATAAAACCAAATGGGCATAGCCAGGGAATGGGGGTGGGAGAAGGGACTGACTCTAAAGGGGAACTCTTTGGTGTGTGGCAATATCGATATCTCGACTGAGGTGGTGGTTACATGACTATATAGGTTTTTCAGGATTCAGAATTGTACACTAAAAAGGGTAAATTTTTCTGCAGATAAATTACAACTCAATTAAACCTGAAAAAAAGCCGAACCAAAACAAATGCAGTTCCCTTCTGTGTTGGGGACTAGGTGACCCAGCTTATGCTCACACATCCCTGGAAGGGCTCTAAATCCTATGCTTTTGTTGATCTCTACTATTTTCAGAGGATTAGAAATTAGATGGCTTTGTGGCTTTGGCAGGGAAAGCCATTTCCAAGGGAAAGGATAAAAGAGAGCATGACTTTAAAATTCAAATACCTCCCTCCCTTTGTTGATCTAGGGCAGGGGTCAGCAAACTGTGTCACTCAGGCCAAATCCAGCCCACCACCTGTCTTGGAGAATAAAGTTTTATTGGAACACAGCCACACCCATTTGTTTATACAGTCTATGCCTGCTTTCACATGATAGTGATGGAGTAGTTGGTGCCAAGAGACCATATGGCCAGTAAAGCCTAAAATACTATCTGGCTCTTTACAGAAAACTTTTGCCAGCCCCTGGTCTAGAGGAGCAGATCAATGAAGCATTTGACACTCCCTCTCCCTCCCTGCACTTCCCTCCCATCCTAGGACTGGTATGCAGAAGGAGCATGAGTGAGATTTCACTTCACATTTTAGTTTCATGGGGAACAGCCCTTTTAACATACCCTGAGTGCTAGGAACCTGGATTCTGATGATGGCTTTGATTTGTGGCCATCAGTCCCTTGTAATTTAGTCTCCCCAAACCACACTGTTTGGCTCAACTAGAGACTGGTGTTAAGAAAAGTCTAGAAACAGTGACAAGGTGTGCCAGGATTTGCCATGGGACCATCATTTAATGAATTTTGGATTTGTCTTGTCCTCATCTCAGCTCTCCTGGAAACAGAGAGAGGACTGTTTATAAATAAGTACACCATGGGATATAGGGAGAATGAAGTCTTATACAGTCAAAGCCAGGCCAAAGCTACTCACTGCAAAGTTATCCCATCATCTGGGCTAACTCAGGAAGCTTTTGCTCTGGTCCAGTCACAAGCTTATCTAGCAAGTTGCAAAACAGCTTAAGAATTCAGCTGTGGCTTAGGGAGGGGTAGGAGGAGCAAGTGGGCTGAAAGCTAGAAAGATAACTGACATGCATGAGGCGGGTAAGAAGGGGAAGGGACCCTGCTTCTGGGATGAGTCCACCCTTCATCTTTACCGTAGTGTCCTATATTTTGCCAATCTACTGCTCTGCTCTGCAGCGATCCTGCCAAAGGAAAGAGGGTTTGAGAATCAAGAAAGGACAGTGAGGAGAAATCAGCTGAGGAAAGAAATGACAAACACCCAACCAGAGCTTCCATTAGGACTCACAAGGAGGGCCACAGAAGAGTGGGCTTTAAGTTTTTGAATGGGACACGTGAGTAGAGGAGAGGAAAGAGTTACTGATCCTTCTGGGATTCTGATAAAAACCATGGTCTCTCTCCCCAGAAAATGCATACAACTTTAGGATTCCAAACTAGGAACTCCTGCTAAGAAGGATGTAAACCAAACAGTTTCTACCCAATTCTCATCTTGATTTTGTTCTTATTTTTCATTTATATATATATATATTTTTAGAGACTAGGTCTAACTATGTTGCCCAGGCTAACTCCTGAGCTCAAGCGATCCTCCCGCCTCAGCCTCCCAAAGTGCTCGGATTACAGGCATAGGCTACCATGCCCAGCAGATTTCATTCTTCTTGAGTGGGCAACTTCTAGAAAAGAGAGAACTTAGCAGAGCACAATCTTTTGGCTCCCTGGGGGCCCAGGCACCAAAGGGAACAGTGTTCTGTTTTGTAAAAACAACAAAGTCCCAGATCTTTCCCAGGTACAATACACAGCCACCAGGAAAAGGCTACTGCAGGGTGGAACAATGAACCAGCTGCCACTTCTGGTGCTAAGGGAAGCTCTGGTGGGTCCTGGATTCCTACAGGAAAGCCAAGGAACGTGCCTGTGCCGAGTCTCCACAGTGAAGTGCTTAGAAAGCTCACAATGGAGACTCCGGCGGAGATGAGACATCTTCTCCCACCCACTGATGGTCTCCCTGAAAAAGCCTCTCTCTGATCCTAGCAACCTAACTGGCAGCCATACTGAGGGTACACTATAGAGCAGGCATCCCCAAACTTTTTACACAGGGGGCCAGTTCACTGTCCCTCAGACCGTTGGAGGGCCGCCATATACTGTGCTCCTCTCACTGACCACCAATGAAAGAGGTGCCCCTTCCTGAAGTGCAGCGGGGGGGCTGGATAAATGGCTTCAGGGGGCCGCAGTTTGGGGATGCCTGCTATAGAGTTACATTCTTCCAGCAAACGTCCTGGATAGAAGAAAGCAGCACATCTGAAAATGATTTATTCCAAAGGTGAAAGCAATTCTGACCTTTTCTTATTGGCCTTTGCGTGCCTGAAATCACTCAGGTTCTAATAAAGTCAAATCAATGAGAAACACCTTTGTGACATTTAAATTTGCCTCCAATTCTGTTTTGAAAAGTCAAGCTGCCAGCAAGCTGCCCTCATGTCAAGGTCTGACCATCTGTGTGACTCTAAGGTTGTCTAGGTCCCAGGCAGGTGGCACAAGCTACTGAGGAGACACTCCTTGCTGGAAGCCTTGGAAAAACCTGCTGCAGCATCTGTGGGGAAGAACATAGACCCCGTGCTTTGGGGACAAGCTCCTGAGCTGTGGGGGGTTACAGAGGAGCAACTCTTGGGGACGTGTTGAGGGTAGGGGGTGCAGGGCAGGGCAGGATTCTCTGTGGCAGCAGAGAATTTTTGCACAGCTAACGAATTTATCTTCTGCCACATCTACTAATGCATTTTCATCTTCATAAAGCAATTCTTTTCCTCTATCACTCTATTGTACTAGGTCATAAATTACCAAATTACCATGGTTTTAATACATTCAAAGCTGATCACTAAGGCCCTTGTCTGACTTCAGAGTGCTTATGGCTTCTGTATTGGGCTAAGTTAAGGTGTCAGACTTGCCCCTAAGAACACAAACCATTTTGCCTCCTACGCTTCAAAGAACTAGGCCAGCAGAGTGGAGTATTTCTAACCCTTCTCTAGATCCCGGGCCCATGTCCAGCCTTACCTCTTAACTGCCTGGTGGGCCAGCATCCGATTGCCAGCCAGAAACGTCACACTACCCAAGATGGCCAGGTACTTCAAGGTCTGGAACATGTTGAGCTGAGTCCAGTAGACGTACATGAGCCCCAGCATAGCTGCAAGCAGAGGTGCCATGACATCCAATTAAGCGAAAACTAATGATTCGCTGGGGTTGAGGAGAGTTAGGGGCAGCAACTGCTGGATCGTGAAAAGGTCTGTAGTCCTAGGCCAGCCTGTTTCGTTCCTTTGCTCTGATGCCAAAATGTAGCTGACTCAATATACTTGCCTCTCAGCTGTGGCCACCAAGAAATCCAGGGGTGGCCAGGTGCAGTGGCTGACGCCTGTAACCCCAGCATTTGGGGAGGCTGAGGTAGGAGAACTGCTTGGGCTAAGGAGTTTAAGACCACCTAGGCAACACAGCGAGACCTCCTGTCTACTAAAATTTTAAAAATTAGTCAGGTGTAATGGCCCATGTCTATAGTCCCAGCTATTTATGAGGCTGAGGTGGGAAAATCACTGTAGCCCAGGGCGTCAAGGATGCAGTGGGCTTGATCACGCCACTGTACTTCAGCCTGGGTGACAGAGTGATACCTTGTCTCAAAAAAAAAAAGAAAAAAGAAAACCATACACACATGAAAACCCAGGGGTAACAACTGAACTCAGTGACCTGTGCTTTGTTCCTGCTTACATCTATTTCTCTGCTTTTGTTTAAAACTTCTATCATGTTGAGTTAGGATTCAAGGCCGGGCGTGGTGGCTCAAGCCTGTAATCCCAGCACTTTGGGAGGCCGAGGCGGGTGGATCATGAGGTCAAGAGATCGAGACCATCCTGGTCAACATGGTGAAACCCCGTCTCTACTAAAAATACAAAAAATCAGCTGGGTGTGGTGGTGCGTGCCTGTAATCCCAGCTACTCAGGAGGCTGAGGCAGGAGAATTGCCTGAACCCAGGAGGCGGAGGTTGCAGTGAGCCGAGATCGCGCCATTGCACTCCAGTCTGGGTAACAAGAGCGAAACTCTGTCTCAAAAAAAAAAAAGAGGATTCATTTCATTTTTCAAATTCTTAACAAAAATACACAGGATATAAATAGGCCAGGCACGGGGGCTCACACCTGTAATCCCAACACTTTGTGAGGCCAAGGTAGGTGGATCACCTGAGGTCAGGAGTTCGAGATCAGCGTGGCCAACATGGTGAAATCCCGTCTCTACTAAAAATACAAAATTAGCCGGGTATGGTGCGCATGCCTAGTCCCAGCTACTCAGAAGGCTGAGGTGGGAAAATTGCTTGAACCTAGGAGGCAGGAGCAGAAGCTGCAGTGAGCCAAGACAGTACCACTGCACTCCAGTCTAGGCAAGACAGAGCAAGACTCCGTCTCAAACAAACAAAAAACTACAGAATAAAAATAAATAATTTTCTTTTTTATGAGAAAAAAAACCCAAAACCTGTAAGGATAATTTGCCACTGTGACCAGAAAGGGAGCAAGGAGGACCCAGGGAGAAGGCTGAGGGAAAAGGGCTCACAGCTGGGAACAAAGAGCCCTGGGGTCTGGTCCAGGCTCTGCCCTCACCAGCCACTTAACTTCTCTGAGCCCAAATTCTCCCACCTTGTCAAAAGGGATCCTAATTCCTGCCCCAGTCAGCCTCATCAGGGTTATGATGAGAATCAAATGAGAAAACACTCCCGAAAAGCACTCTGGCAGGAAAAGCTATGGCTCTCATCAAACCTTTATTCAGGTTTTATTCTCAGTCTGACCCCAGAGGGCTATCATTCAAATCCAGTAACTGAGCTAGAGAGAAAGGTCATCCTGTCAGTTTTGCCCAGACAGATGACGGATAAACTACAGTAGGGCTCTTAACCATTTTTGAGGTCACGGACCACTGCACCATAATAATCTGATCAAAGTCACAACTCTCTTTCCCTAGAAAAACATAGACATTTGCCTAGAATTTCAAGGGATCCATCTATGCACCCCTACAGAATCTGTTTACTATGGGCACACAGAGAGTGACTCCTGAAAGAGGCAAATAATTTTTAAAATATTAAGGTCAGGCCAGGCATGGTAGCTCACACCTATAATCCTAGCACTCTGGGAGGGCAAAGGTGGGAAGACTGCTTGAGCCCAGGAGTTCAAGACCAGGTCTGGCAATACAGAAAGACCCCGTCTCTTCAAAAAATACAAGTATTAGCCGAGCATGGTAGCACATGCCTGGAGTCCCAACTACCCTGGAGGCTGAGGTGGGAGAATCACCTGAGCCTGGAAGATCGAGGCTGCAGTGAGCCATGACTGCATCACTGCACTCCAGCCTGGGTGACAGGGCAAGACCCTGTCTCAAAAAAAAAAAACAAGAAATATTAAATTCGAAGTGAAATGCAAGGTATCCCTGACCCAATAGCATCAAAAGCCTCAGAAATGCTTAAGTGATTTGTGAATTTACTGTCTCGTTATGTTTAGGCTGTTGAGGTCCTAAAGTCTCCAGAGAACAATGCGGGACAGCATGTTTGAGTGTAGAAAGGACTGTTTTCTATTACTGCACAGATAGAACTGCCAGCAAATGTGAAGATCGATATGGTGGAGAAAGATAACCTTTGGAAACTGCATCAATGCTCTTTATCCAGGAAGATGGCTCAGTGTAAAGACACGATAAGTGAGTAATCTCTGGAAAAGAACAGGGTTATTAACTGAGGGTAAATGGTCTGCCAACAGTAGAGCAGTACAACGGAAGCCCAATATAAAGACTGTTCTACGTGACGGACCAAACAGGTTTATCATCATATTAATTGTCCTGAAAGGCCAGGAGGAAGAGGGAAATGTTATGCTATTAAGTCATTATAGTTAATAGGCTGTGGGTCTACTTAACTGGGCTTTAGCGTGGGCAAGCTAAATGTCAGAGGAGGTTAAATGGAATTAGCAGCCTGGGGCACTTACCAGCATGTCCCAGGTGAAATATAATCGTGCTAGGAGCGAAAGTGAAGTTGGAGACATTGGCACCAATCCGGATCCACTGAATGATGGGGAGAAATAAATTAAAAAGGCATTAGAACTTCAAAGGGAGGCAACACATGCCACGCCAATGCTAATCCAATCAACAGCCTCGGGGCTTAAAAGTTCATGCATCCTAGAAGGACAGGAAATTCTTTCAAGTGACAACCACCTTCTTATAAGCCCTCGGGAAAACCTGTTCCCTTTTTCTTTAGAAAGGCATGCAGCACCTGCTCTCAAATGGGCTCCTGTAACTCAAACCTGAACATCATTTTTAATGGTGACAAAAAACAGGTGAGACCATGAAGCTGAAAGGTCAGAGACTGCATTTATAAGGTAACTGACACCCCCACTAAGTTCTCTAAGACTTGGTGAGATAAACCTGCTGGCAGCTGGCAGCATTCATGCTCTTGCTGGGGGTTCCATGTCTTTTGAAATTCTCATCACTCAAATATAAGAGCAGGTGCCCATACCCTAGGTCTGATTTCTGAAAACCTGTAGCAAGGCCACTAGATTTAGATTAAACAGTTATTCTTTTATTAAAATCAACAAATTAATTAGGAACACAGGCAACTTTCCAAAAGATCTAATGATTTTCTCAAAATTCTGAGCTTTGATATGCATTCATGATTGTTTACAATTTTAAAAAAGAAACAGAAAAACACAATTGGCTAAAAAAAAAATTTCAAATGGTACTGAAAAGGAGAAGAGGTAAAAGTTGCTTCCTCTACATTCTCCAGAATGTCCTCTCCTCAGAGATGACCAACACTAACACACAGCGCCTTTTAAAACTTTTAAATTTTGCCGGGCGCGGTGGCTCAAGCCTGTAATCCCAGCACTTTGGGAGGCCGAGACGGGTGGATCACAAGGTCAAGAGATCGAGACCATCCTGGTCAACATGGTGAAACCCCGTCTCTACTAAAAATACAAAAAATTAGCTGGGCATGGTGGCACATGCCTGTAATCCCAGCTACTCAGGAGGCTGAGGCAGGAGAATTGCCTGAACCCAGGAGGCGGAGGTTGCGATGAGCCAAGATCGCGCCATTGCACTCCAGCCTGGGTAACAAGAGCAAAACTCCGTCTCAAAAAAAAAAAAACTTTTAAATTTTGTTTTGAGACAGGGTCTTACTCTGTCACCCAGGTTAGAGTGCAGGGCTCACTGCGGCCTCAATTTCCCGGGCTCAAGAGATCTTCCCACCTCAGCCCCTCAAGCAGCCGGGACTACAAGCGCACGTCACCAATTTATTTTTTCTAATTTTCTAATTTTAATAGAGAGAGGGTCTCGCTATGTGCCCCGGCTGATCTCAAACACCTGAGCTCAAGCGATCCTCCCGCCTTGGCCTCACAAAATGGTGGGATTACAGGCATGAGCCACCGCACCCAGCCACCTTTTAAAACTTTACAGAGGATCTACTAAACACACTACCCTACCCCTTGCCTTCTTCACTCAGTAACATGTCTTGCCAATCTTGACCTATCAGTATATACATCTACCCATTCTTTGAAAAGCTGCATATTATTCCATCATATGAACTTTAGGTTGTTTCCGGTTTTCTGCCCTAAGCAGTGCTGAAATGCACAGCTTCTGTGCTGTTTTTTTTTTCTTTTTGAGACGGAGTTTCAATCTTGTTACCCAGGCTGGAGTGCAATGGCGCGATCTCGGCTCACCGCAACCTCCACCTCCTGGGTTCAGGCAATTCTCCTGCCTCAGCCTCCTGAGTAGCTTGGATTACAGGCATATGCCACCATGCCCAGCTACTTTTTTGTATTTTTAGTAGAGACGGGGTTTCACCATGTTGACCAGGATGGTCTCGATCTCTTGACCTTGTGATCCACCCGCCTCGGCCTCCCAAAGTGCTGGGATTACAGGCTTGCGCCACCGCGCCCGGCCCCCCTGTGCTGTTTTTTATAGCTATCAGCATCGGGCCTCGCTCTGTTCACACTAGATCTCATCTGAACCCTCCTACGGCATCCCAGTCCATCCACTTTTGTTATTCTTAGTGTCTGTTAGGTACCTTCTCATGTCCACTCGTTAATGGGGCAGTTTATTTGGCCGCTCCTTCACAGTGGGAACTTTTGGTCATTCTAAAACGTCTTGACCATCAGTTCAGGTCACAGCTGCTGGACCCCTCCAGAGCTTTGCTGAGGCCAGACAACACAGCCTCCTTTGGAAGGGCTGCATCTGCCGGGTCTGGCGCCAGACACACACTGCCCATGCTAATTATGGCCACTCACCAGAGCAAAGAGCAGGAGCAACGGCGAGAGAATCAGGGCAGTGAATGTATTGGACACCACGGTGGGGGGCCTCTTCTCAGGCTCACGAAACAGGTGCTGCCGAAAGACACACCAAGAAAACTTCAGAATGTGCCCTTCCCAGCCAGGGCAGCCATGTATACCAGGGACCAAAGCATCAACACCAGTTGTAAAGAGGATATGCCACCCAGAGGCTAAAACCTCTTGGCAGCAGTGGCTGCGTGGCCTTTTGCCTCTTCTCAATCCTGGCTTCTGATGCCAGAGGTCTCCTTCCACAGACACTGCATCAGCCCCAGCTCACTGCTTAGCCAAAAACCCTTTCTTCCCCTAAAGACTCACTGCCATTTAGAGGCCAAAGAATGCAATCCATCAAGTGGCATTTGGCTAGTGCCAAAGAGGGTGCCCAGGTATATGGATAGCTTGAGTGACAGGACTGAGGCAGGACTGCAGACTCGCAATGTTTCTGGGTTCCTGTGGTGGCCCTGGGATATGCTGCTGCCCCCACTTAATTGGCTAATGGTAGCAATGCCATCCTGTTTTAAAAGGTAACAGAGCTGCACTACGAACCTTTCCAACCATAAATCATCCCTCTCTCCCTGAGCCATGGCTCTAAAGAAGCCCTAAACAAACTTCCCGCTCTGATTTTTTTTTTTTTTTTAAAGAGACAGGACCTCATTCTGTCACCCAGGCTGAAAGGCAGTGACACCATCACAGTCTACTGTAACCTCAAATTCCTGGGCTCAAAAGATCCTCCCGCCTCAGCCTCCTGAGTAGTTGGGACTACAGGTGTGCACCAACACACCCAGCTTAATTTTTAAATTCTTTGTAGAAAAGGAGTCTCGCTAGGTCTTGAACTCTTGACTTCAAATGATCCTCCCTCCTTGACCTTGCAAAGTGGGATTACAGGCGTGAGTCATCGTGCCTGGCCCAACTGTGATTTCCAGAGTTAAACCAGAAGGCTGGACAAGCATGCTGATGATATTTCTTGGTTTTCTGTCTTTCTCCTGAGCAATTCTACATGAATTCTCTTTGCGAAGCTCATCTAGATAGTGTGGCCTAGCAGAAGCAGCAATGGTGTGGGCGTCTGGAAACCTCTGTTTAGGCCCAAACTGGTATGTATGGCTGTGCGACCAGGTGGCAAGTTGCGTTCACTCTTTACCTCAGTTACCAGCTGGAAAATTGAGGGTGGGGAGGGCCATGACTACCCTGCTCGGCTTGTAAAGATACTCTGAAGACCAAATGAAATAGGGCATTTGATTATGCCTTGTAAACTGTAACTCATTATGCAAACAGCACTTTTTAAAAAAGGTTTTTCCTCCAACATATCAACTCGTGCCTGTCTTTTCTGCTTGCCAATGCCCAGCCTCCCCAGCTCCATGAGGAGGCAGCCCCACTCGGGCCTCCTGTTCCTAAATTTTCACCTCTGCTCTTCTTTGCTGCCACTGCCATTAAAGGATTTCTAACACTGCAGCAGCTGCTGCCACCTACTTTACCCTACAAATCAGCCAGCGCTCTTCGTCATCACGATTACACCCGCCAGTGAGCTGCATTTTACATTCTTAAATAATGCTGTACCAACATGAAGATGAGTTTTAAAAACAAGGCTTGCTTATCCAAGGACTTGCCTGAGGAAGTAGAGACAGCCCTGTTCTCCCAGGTGAGTTTTCCCACCCGTCACCCCATCAGCCCTGATGTATGCAGCAGCAGGGAGAATAAACCCTAAAACCACCTGCACTCATGGCTAACAAGCTGTGGTCTGAGGGTTGAACTTGCTGCATGTCAGGAAAACCAGACTCAGGTTCTGATTTCATCGCCAACTGTCTTCTTTCTGTGGGTTAGTCACTGGACTCTTTAAACCTGTTTGCTCAGTTTAAGGATGGGGCTGGCATTTACAGAGTGTGAGGATCAAACTATAAAATATCACGAAAACAAGCTAAAGGGAGCAGAGCCACAGTCCAGGGCTTTGCTGCCCTCTCTTCTCCCCCGTGTTTAGTGGATAAGCCCTTTGGGATATACCTGAATTTCCTGTTTTGGAGTGAAAAGGTTCTGGGACAAGACAGTTGAGGGAGCTTCTTCCTCAGGGAACTTGATGACCACATCAGCCTAGAAAAATAAGGACAGTCTTTAAAGGCACAGGGGCAGAGAAGTGGGCGAAACTCAATAGATAATATTCTCCGACTCATGTCTAAGACCATAACTGAAAAAAACTCCAGAAAGTCCAATCACTTCTGATACATTCGTTGACAAACTGAGGCAGTAAAAATTTCAAGAACAAAACAAGTATTTGTTGAAAATGCTTTTTAGAGCAAGACTTCTAATTTTCTACTGGTTTAGTAGCCCCATAAGTCTGCTTAATACAAAAATCCCAGCAGGTACACAGGCTGTTAAAGTTGCAATCAGAAACTGCTTGGTGTCCATGGAAGCACAATTTAGTCATATTTTTAAAACGAGAGAAAGAAATGAGTACGCACTCTCATACAAAAACAGCCCGAAGTCCAAGGGAAGAAAAGAAGCCTGGAATACCCCAAGTGAGTCAATCACCATTCAAAGCCTGCAATTTGGCCTCTGCTACCCTTCCAAGCTCATCACCACCTGCTTTTGACAGGATTCAGGTGCTCTGGCTCCCACTGCACTGTAAGCACCTTGAGCTTTTCTGCAGGCTGTTCCTCAACAATCGCCCCACAGCTCCAGATCTGATAAACCCTTGCCATTCTTCAACCCCTGCTCTAATGCCCTGTCTTGCAAGACGTGTACTCTCATCACACCAATACAAAGTGGGGCATGAAGGGAAGCATTATGTAAATGACAACATGGTACACAAATGTTGGTTATTAGTTAATTAGCATTTTGCACATCGTACAAATCACTTTTTTACATCATCCTGAATTGTTACCAGAATTCAGATCTCATTGCTCCCATGAGCTATGCTGTCTCTCTAAGGCCAGGGCCTTAACTTTCACATCTATGTAACCCCCATAGTGCCTTGCTGTAGTATGAAAACCACCTTCCTGTATAACGTTTATAGAAATTCACAGATACAAGCACTCACAGGTTTATCCTTCCTTCATTCACTTAAAATTTTTAAGCACCTACCATGCTGCCAAGCCACATGCACGACCCCAGGACTATCTATGGAGACTTCACACAGTGCCTCATCTCCCAAGCTTATTTATCGCACTTAGGAGGTACAGGCAAGGCGAAGGTGAAGAGCCCCATGCCCCTGAAAAGGAGCCACCAGTGCCTGGAGCACAGCCACTCTCACCTGGGGGTGCATTCAGGCACATACCACATTCCAGAGGATTGGGTTCTTCAAAGTGGCATCTCCAATGATTAGGTAGAGAGTGTAGGTGCCAGAGGCAGAATCAAATTCAATCTTTCTTTCAGAGGTATCCAATTCAAACTTGTACACGTTCTTGTTGTCTGGCTCGGCAACAAACACCACTTCCTGGCCAGTCTTTTGGTTATGGAGTCGGACAAACGTCTAGATGGAAGAATAATACAACCTTTAAATCTGGTAACTTCAAAACTCCCCCTGGGCCCAACACTGAATCCACCAGGCAGCAGAGTTAGCTCTCTGCCACAGCGAGAGCTCTGGGATCTGCCAGACCTGCCCAAGAGAGTAGACAGAGTAGCCACGCCACCCTAGTTCCTAGCTCAGAGGTAACTGCTGGTACAAGGAAGGAAATTTAACTTATTGATCCAGCCAATTCTCGTCTAGTTGGAGGCTGAATGCCCAGTTTGTGGATGATTTAAGCCCCTTGCTATTGCTCAAGTTTCTTTTCCCTGCCAGCCTTTTGGTCACTTTGCTGCCCAATCAACTGCTTCACCAGAGGGTGAAAAGAAGGGAAATGAGGTGGAACTGCAAGAGGCCCATTTTCAATTTCCTAGTGCCTCCAGCTAAAGATTTAGTAAAGGAGCCTTGGGTACTGATAGCAAGGCAGAGTTCTAATCAAGCAGAGCAGCCAGTGTCATGGAGACAGCCTCGGCTTGGAAGACAGACAGATTTGCTTCCACTACTTATTAGCCGAGCAAGTTACTTAACCTACTTATGCTTTGATTTCTTCAACTTGAAGGCAGAAAAACTAACTTTCTGATGTGGCATATCTGTGTGAAGATTTGCAATACGGTATACAAAGCATTACTGCAGGGCATGGTATTTACTAGCTAGTCAACAAACAGTAGTTAATAGCAATATGATAGTACTGAGTCTAATCACTTTATCCCCCCAAATGGCACAAGAAACAAAGGTGTCTATATATTAGAACTGGAGCAAAACTTTATATCCACCCAGAGCTTTTCTTTTTTTTTTTTGAGACAGAGTTTCACTCTCGTTGGCCAGGCTACAGTGCAATGACACAATCTTGGCTCACCACCTCCAGGGTTTAAGCAATTCTCCTGCCTTAGCCTCTCAAGTAGCTGGGATTATAGGCATGCGCCACCATGCCTGGCTAATTCTGCATTTTTAGTAGAGACGGGGGTTTCTCTGTGTTGGTCAGGCTGGTCTCAATCTCCTGACCTCAGGTGATCCGTCCCTCAGCCTCCCAAACTGCTGGGATTATAGGCGTGAACCACTGCACTCGGCTCAGGTGTTTCAAAATAAAGAATTCAACAAGGCAGGTAGGTTTACAGATCCAATTTACAGATCATAAAGCACAAGCATTAAATGAGCTGGCATGGTGACAGAGCCAGCACTGCATCTACAGAAAACATACATCTCATTTGTTACTCTATACCTGAACAACAATGAACAATCACCAAAGCATTTAGGGAAAGGGGCCCAGAGATATGAAGCACCCCAACTATAGCAATTACTCTTGGATAGGAATGGAATCTGGGAGTCCAGATGCCAGATCTCCTTTCTATCAGAGTCAAGTGCAGGCAGCTGCCATGTTCATCCCCAAAATGCCATCTTCACCTGGAAGGTCTCTAAGCCATGATTCTAAAACAGAATCTTGCAGGAGACAAGTATTCAGTTGAAGTCACATTTCTCCACTAACTCTCCCTGTTCTAACCCTAATCCTACTAATTTAGTCTTCTAATTTCTTCTCTTCCTTCCATTAAGCTATTAGGTTGGCAAATGTCATTCTGGGAAGAAGCTGGGGAATGCTAAGAGATAGATGTACTCAAAGGTCAGTTATCCTTGGCTAAGGGCCCTAACCAAGCTGTCTGGAGTTTGGGAGTAGGGAAGAGAGAGGAGCAGGGGACTCCTGGGACCGTAGCCCTAGAGGAGCATGCTCCTGGGGCACAAGTGCAACAACAGCTGCAGCTGCAGGAAATAGAAAGCAAGAAGGTTCCCAAGGAAATCCATTTGCCTCTGAGGTCTGTCCTGAAGCTGCCTCAAGGCAACTAGCCTGCCGGTTCTTGCTAAAGCATTGGTACAGGGTACCCTATACCAAACTAGGTCCCACATTCCTGTCTTTCAGCATTCAAAGTATTTATGTGAATCTTCCTTCACATAACACTAAAGGCAGGTTATTCTCAATCAAGGGGGGTGACAGGCAGTGTGGGAGTGGGGGCGTCTGAGTGGACACGGGCCATATGACGTTCTCCCTTTCTTCCTCCCTTCCTCCCTGTACAAATAAATGAGGGCTCACCATATTGCCCAGGCTGGTCTCCAACTCCTGGGCTCAAGTAATCCTTCCACCTCAGCCTCCAAAGTGTTGGGATTACGGGTGTGAGCCACCATGCCTGGCCAGTATATTCCTTTTAATCAGAAAGAAAAAGCCTCAGGTGGGGTGAGGTGGCTCATGCCTATAATCCCAGCACTTTGGGAGGATGAGGCAGGCAGATCACCTGGGCGCAGGAGACGGAGACCAGCCTGGCCAACATGGTGAAACCCTGTCTCTACTAAAAATACAAAAATTAGCCAGATGTGGTGACGCATGCCTGCAGTCCCAGCTACTTGGGAGGCTGAGGCACAATACTTGCTTGAACCCGGGAGATGGAGGTTGCACTGAGCCGAGATCATGCCACTGCACTCCAGCCTGGGTGACGGAGAGAGACTCCATCTCAAAAAACAAAAAGAAAGAAAGAAAAAGCCTTAATTCAGTGTGACTCTGCCTTAAATACCTCTTTTCAATACCAGCTAATTTTAAAAAAAAGAAATGTGTATTCCAGGTGAAGGATTACAATCGATAGAACGGTGAGAGTGTCACGTGAGAGAACCTGATGCACTGTCAGGGTTCAGTCAAGATCTGAAAGCAGGAATCTGAAATTCTCTCTAGTCCTTATTACAGACCGCACTGTAAACTCTAGTGAGCATTCGTATTTCATTCAGGTTAAGAGAACTGTCTGGGCATCTTCCTGACCTGATGAGGAGTGAGTTCAGCACCAGTGTTCACATCTACCAGCTGGAAGAACAAGGCGAAGTTCTGGTGGCTGTCTGCAATGAATGTGCCCTTGGCTTTGGCTGGGTAGGTCACCCTAAAAGAAACATTATACAGTCAGTCTTCGGAGAGGATCAGTACATCTCTGAGAACAGGCAAAAAATACATACTTCATTTCACTCCCTAATCCTCCCTCTCTCGAAGTAACACTCCTGCTGTGGACAGACAGATGTGGACAACTGGCTGCAGCCTGGGGGCACACTGGACTGATAAAGCCTGGACTGAGAAGAGTGCAGAATAAACTTTCAGCAGGATCTGGGGAAATGCTTTGTGCAGACACTTGTACCTCTGGCCTTCACTCCAAGGACCTAAGGCTCTCAACTCCACCAAGTCAGGCACCAGTGGAGCTCACATGTGGCCTCTGCAGGCACACAGGAGCTGGCAGAACCGCAAGGAGAAATAATCACAAGATTGATGCCAGCAGCACACACGAGCAGGGTCGAGACAGGGGGTAGGAGATACAAAGGAAAGAAGGGTACATCCAGCTTTTTCTTTTTCTAATGTCTTATTTTTTTCCTGGACGCTGTTTCAATTTATTTTTCTGTGCTGAAACTGGGCTTCATTTTGGGAAAAGTCATTTTCCCACAAGGCAGACTTGATGAAGAAAACTCACAGCTATCTCCTGGGACTTTAGGGTAAGATGGCAGGGGACAAACCAGTCAAATGTTTATAGAGCTCAAACCTGGCTTTATTTTATACTTACATTTTATACTTACTGGTAAGACCAACTCTTCATCTGTGCAGAGAATTAAATGGCAAAGCACTTGCACAAACATTACTTCAGTGGATTCCTCAAACAGTGCTCTTATCTGCAATATCACTACAAAAATAGCCAAGCCAGAGACACAAAGGCCAACTCTCCATGATTTAAAAGGAGCAGCTGCTTGGCTTCCAGTCTCTGGCTAACATCCCATCTTCAAAAAGACCACAGCTATCCTAGTTGAGTAAAGTTGGGGCCTGGACTATACCCAGATATCTAGATTCTCCCTGCACCAATAAGGATCTGGGGGAGGGCTGACGAGCAGACTTCTTAGGGCATTCTGGCCCAACTCTGATCAACTGTTAGTGTCTACTTAGAAGATTATATTTAAAAAGATTCTAAGGCTGTGTCTGAGTTTGGCGGGAGCAAATGCTATGACTTACTAGTAATGCCTCCATGGACTTGGGAAGGGAATGACAGCCCTAGCGCTGGGTATCTGCCATCTCAATTATCCACCATGGACCAGAAAGAGTTGCCCATCAGGTCACTAAAAGCAAATTCAGGACTGTGACTATGAGATTGCCCCAGAATGTAAATTAATATCTTGCTTCCTTCATCGAGAAGGTCTTGTTATTTTAAAAATTGTCATCTGAACTAAATAATGTGCTAGTGACATAGCTGACTGACTCAGACTAACATCCTGAGGTAAGCGCCTTATCTCGTTGTGGACTGGTAATGAACAGTTTGTGCATGGACTAAACACTGTATAGACAACTTCCAAATCCGCTTAGATGCCTCGCAGAATCCCTGGTGCAGGACCTACACCAGAGAACTATAGCCTCTTTAATTTGGGGTGCAAGCCGGATGGCTGCTGACAAGAACTGATGCCTGGAGGGGCTCAGGTGACATATCACCTACCGGGTAGTTTTGGGTGCAATGCTCTGATCCTTATCCACAGTGGAAAGATCAACATTTGTGATGCCAACTTCAGTGGAGATCTTGACTCTGAGCTAGAGGAAAATAGAGAAGACAGTTGCCAGGTCAACTGGTGGGTGTACAGGAATGCACATGCAGATATCAAGTTTTCTCTTCTTTAAGGTGAGTAAAGGCATGAAAAAAATCCTAGGACAAGAGTCATCAAGGATGATAGTAACACTGACCCAGCCCAGTTATATTTCCAACCTTTCCCATTCGGAGGCCTGTCTTTTTCTGACTTTGGATGGATTGGTATGTATTAAAAAAAAAAAAAAATAGAAGAAGAAAAAGGAAAAGAAAAAAAGTAAATCTTTTCATGTGTCCTTTAAAATAAATAAGGTACCTTTCATTCAAATCAGTAAGAATTCAGTTCTAATGAGAGCTAGGATTTACTGAGTGCTTACCACGTGAAAGGCACTGGCTTTGTAAAGTCTATCTCATTTAATCCTCATAATTCTGTAAGGTACTGCTTTTCAGATAAGGAAATAAAAGATGAGAGAGATTAAGCTGCTTGCTCAAAATCAGACCTCGAGGAAGTAATCAGGCCAGTTTCGAGCTCAGGCACTGTGACTCAGAATCCACACATTTCATCTCCTTGTTAGACAGCCAGTGTAGTTACCTGTACTGTTCTCCAAGTACTTCTTATTCTCCTTCTGGGCATGTGGTAGAATTCTACTTCCCTGCCCCCATGGAGCCAGGTGTGGCCACGACTTGCTTTGGCCAGTGAAATGTGGGAAGAAGTGAAGCACGTCACTTCCAGGTGGAAGCTTTAAGAATCAGCTCACGAGGCCGGGTGTGATGGTTCACACCTGTAATTCCAACACTTTGGGAGGCCAAGGCTGGTAGATCACGAGGCCAGGAGTTCAAGACCAGCCTGGCCAACATGGTGAAACCCCGTCTCTACTAAAAACACAAAAATTAGCTGGGCTTGGTGGCGCATGCCTGTAATCACAGCTACTTGGGAGGTTGAGGCAGGAGAATTGTTTGAACCAGGACCCGGGAGGCAGAGGTTGTAGTGATCTGAGATCGTGCCACTGCACTCCAGCCTGGGCTACAGATCAAGACTCCATCTCCAAAAAAAAAAAAAATACCAGTGTGTGAGTCTCTCCTCTCTTTTCCTGACATGCACACAATATCCAGAGGCTTGCTCCTTCAGCCAGGGGTCCTGGAGCAAAGACGGGCAAAAAAATAAACCTTTGCTGTTTTAACCCACTAAGATTAGCAGTGTTATAAGCACAAACCAATCCATTGTTGACTCCTACAGTGTTTGAATTTTATATGTCCCTTATAAACATCTTCACTAAGAGAGGCTAATGCCAGTAAATAAGAAATTTTAAAATTAGATTAAAATCAATGTAAATATCCCAAAGAGACAGAAAACATGTTAAATTTCTGAATTAAAATTCGAGTTTGAATGTGCAAATTATGCAAACCCAAGGCACTTTCACGTGCAAACAGATCTACAAGCCTTCCAAATATTTGATAGGTTTAAATGCAACACTTAAGGAAATCCTTGCCAAATCCACTGGTTTATAGTCTAAGTCAGGATCAAGGAATAGAGATAAAGGGCTGGGTAAATAATTGAAGGATAACTTTGGCGGTTTCCTAAAATGTCAATATTGAGGTGTGACAACCTCAAATCAAGGCCAAAGAAGAAAAATTAAAAAGCGATAAAAATATCTATCAAGTAATTCTAATAGTCTTCTTTCCTGCTTCCATAATAACTATTTTATGACAACAGCCTCAATTATGTTGAATAGTGGTGTTCTGTTTTGCTTAAAAAAATATATATATATTTTTATAAATTTATATTTATAAATATATACTTATATATAAATATAAATTTTTATAAATAATATAAATTTATATAAATATAAATATATTTATATAAATATAAATATATTTATACATAAATATAAATTTTTTATAAAATTATATTTATAAATATATAAGTATATTTATATATATAAAGATTTATTACCAGAAGCTATAAGGATATTACCATCTACTTTTGAATACATAGCCACCTATTAGCAGGATTACATTGAGCAGGATTGCCTGTCACTGAGTCTAAGCAACTAGGTGAATTATGGCAGTGGAGGAGGAAGGAAGATGGTCCATCAGGTTGAACAGACACCCTCAAGGAGGAGCTAGGAATCTCTACTTCGGCTCTATGGGTTCTCTGCTGAGTTAACTGCATTACAAGTCATACAGGACTCAGAACCAGAGCAAGCTTTCCTGCATAAAGCACAACCCGACAGGCACTGACATCATTTCCACTGGAGGACAAACCGGAATGGAAAGTTCAGGCAAAGAAGTAGCCAAAGAGCTTTGATCAGACACCCGCTGAGAACACTTTCCCTGTAGTATGTGGAGCACCTAGGTGCAGGCAATATACAGAGATGGCAAAAATCCTTCCTCTCCCATATACAAACCGTAATTATAATAAACCAGGTTGCTGCTTTAATGCAGGGATGTACAAAGTGCTACGGAAACACAGGAGAAGGAACTGTGACCCAAGTCTGCCCATGGGTGCCTCCAACTAGGGAAACATTCCATACATAGCAAGAAGAATAAGGAGGCCTGATGGTCTTAGCAGCCCTCCAATTTTGGGAGGGGTAGGAGGATTAGCAGTATTCCATGCTATAAAAATAATTGGTCTTCGTAGTTAACTATTCTGCAATCTTCATCAACATTAACTAGATAATTCCCTGGTTATTTCTGTAACTCATTCTCTTAAGAACTCATTCATTTAATTTGTAAATGTGATCTTCCTACTGAAATATCCATAAACAGGAGACTAGCTGAACAAACAATGCTATGTGCATATTATTGATTACTATTAATTAGTAAGGATTAAAAAGAACAATTAAAAGAGAACAAAAAAGAGCAATTAAAAAGAACAAACTCGGCCAGGCATGGTGGCTTGTGCCTGTAATGCCAGAAACTTTGGGAGGCCGAAGCAGGCGGATCATTTGAGGTCAGCAGTTCAAGACCCACCAATATGGTGAAACCCTGTCTCTACTAAAAACACAAAAAAATCAGCCAAGTGTGGTGGCACGTGCCTGTAGTCCCAGCTACTCGGGAGGCTGAGGCAGGAAAATGGCTTGAACTGGGAGGCAGGAGTTGCAGTGAGCTGAGATCATGCCACTGCACTCTAGCCTGGGTGACAGGGCAAGACTCCGCCTTTAAAAAAAAAAAAATTGTGTAAGGTCTTCAATGTCTCTTAATGATAGTGATAAGGAAGCCATCAGCTTTTAGGTTTTCACTTAGAATCCTGACTCTAAACTCTCAGCACTAACTTGGCCACCAAGGCCTGCTAATCAGGATCCAGCTTCGTGTTTGTCCTAAAGACATCCTGAGCATCTCCAGACAATGCAAACACATGGAGTGAGCAAAGGGCAAGCCGCAGTGAACTTGCATCATTTTTGGTTTGCTCTCAGCCCTAATTTTAAAAGGCTTCCTAAGTTACAGCTTTCTTTGTTGCATAGAAACACTGTAGGGCTGTTCCTAAACAGGGAACAGTTTAAAACAAATCCTTCAGCTCCTAAAATCTCACTATAAATGGGTCTCTGGAAACATTCAAAAGAAAAGCATTTTTATGCTACTCTTTTAAAGCAAATTTAGAAATAAAAATCATAACTTTTTCCAAAGTCTTCTTTCAAAGAGTTCCGTGTAGGATCCCTGCTGATTACCTGCTTCTTCCTTCTAACCAACACTGTAGGATTCGTTTTTATAATAGGAAAGGGACTTATTTCTCCACTTTAAGTGCAGCTAAGCCTGCTCTTTACACTGGATCATGCTATTCCTTTCTTTGCCTGCACCACATGCCATATACATCTCAAAAAATGTTTTAACACCAGGAAATGTAGTCTTTCTGCTGGGAGTAATAACACCCCTGTTTAGCTTATTACTGTCAAAAATGATGGTGCATTAGGGGCAATTAATGCTAATGAAAGCTTCCAAAACCCAAGCTTCCCTTGACAGCCAGTCCAATGTCAATGAGGGCTATTACAGGACTTCCACAGCAAACCACCCTTAATGCACTCTGACCAATGTCGAGCATCTCTTGGGAGGGCAAACAGGACCCAATGACCCGCTCTGAGCCTCTAAGTGTGACTATTACTGAAATTACAAAGAAAAATTGCATCTATGGCAAAGGTCAGAGCTGACTCTCTCTCCCCCACTCTCTCCTTGCCTCTCCCTTTCTCTCTCTTACACACACACAAACACACCCATGTGCACACATACACACACAGACACAGACACACACACACACACACACACACACACACAGAGTTCTAATGTAATAAGGAGGGAGAGAGAAGATTTTGTAATGCTTACTCCATCACCAGGAAGGAAAAGGACAGCAAATGGCCTCAATGGGGGCTTATTATCATTGCATGAACAACAGCTATTAGCCATTTCTGCTATTTTGTACTTAGATAATTTTTCCAACAATCACAGAAACACTTGGACAAACACCAGATGTGATGTTACAAAAAGCCAAGCTGTTACAGTAATCAAGACAGCATGGTATCAGCATAAGGACAAAAATGCAGATTAATGAAACAGAATTATGAGTCCAGAAATCAACCCTTACATTTATGGTCAAGTGATTTCTACAAGGATGTGTCAAGGCAATTCATCAGGGAAAGAACAAACTTTTCAACAAATGGTTCTAGGACAACTGCAAAAGAAGACTGGACCCCTATGTCACACCATACATAAAATCTGACTCAAAATGAATCAGAAACCTCAGGGTAAGAGCCAAAAGTATAAAATTCTTTTAAGAAAAGTAGTAAATCTTCATAACTTCGGATTAGGCAATGGTTTCTTAGACATGACACCTAAGACACAAACAACAATAACAATTTTTTTTTTTTCTTTTTTTTTTTGAGACATAGTCTCCCTCTATAGCCAGGCTTGAGTGCAGTGGTGTGATTCCGGCTCACTGCAACTTTCGTTTTCCGGTTTCAAGCAATTCTCCTGCCTCAGCCTCCCAAGTAGCTAGGACTACAGGCATGCACCACCA